GCTACCCAAACATGCCTTTTCTCCTATCAGTCTGTTAAATGATAAAAAAAATAGCAGTCAGGATGAGTCCCATAATAACCGCATGTGAGAAATTTCAATGTATCGTTGTATTCTGGAAAGATAAATAGAACGCAATACTAAGAGTTCTGCATGGCTTGACCGCAATTGACAGTGCAATTTTGTGTGAGATCAGAGTTTTTAGGGATGGGTGATGTTGGCGATTTCCCAGGGCGGTCCAGCCACAAGGCTACCCTTTGTCGTTTCATATTATAATATGTACTCTTATTTTTGTAGTATTTGGAACTGTTCGAGGGTATGGGTCTTCGAGCTAGTCCTGGGACCGAAATTTGGTTCGCAGCCAAAAATGGTTAGGGGCCACTGCCCGATATCCTCAGGTTTCATTTCTCTACCTACTCCAATAAAGGACTCGTTGTGCTGTTATATTAGGCATTATTAGTCTTGACTGGGAGGTGACATCTTTGTTCTTTGATATAATATTGATTTTCCCTATTTTCATTCCTCATGGAGAGTCGAGAGTCGGACGAGGATGCTTTTCTGGTGGATGGAATGCAAAATATTGGAGCACTCAATGGTGCACTCATTAGTAATACTGACTTTATATAGCCTGCGAGGTGTATATGTATCAGGATCAGGTAAGGAAGGGATTCGATCATTTTTTACTTGCCTTTTAGCAGTGATTTTGGGGTGAGTTAACATGTTCCAATGTACCGTTGGGATTAGTATGCATGTAATGTTGCGTTTTCTTTCTTCAGGATGTAATAACTTATCCCGAGATCACTGCTTCATTGAAATTAATGCTATTGGTTTTTTTCTGGGCATGAAAAGAAGAAAAACATACAAAATTAATCAATTTGGCCGTTTTTTGTTGCAGGATACACGCAAGGCATTTGCGTTCTCGAAATATCCTCAAAGGCAGAATGCTTGGTTCCCTACAAGGATTGGGGGGACCTCAAAATTCATTTGGAAATTCTTCCTCCGCCTGACGGTACAAGCCCTGCCTGCATTAGTTTCTCATTCGCGGTAAGCCCTTGGTTGTTGATAGGAGTGCATAATTAGACTTTGGGCACATTGGTCGAATAACCTATCGCTAAGATCTACTTTGAAAGGAGCTAGATTGCTCAGAAGATTGAGATAATCTGCTTGCACACATGGTCCATTAATGGGGATTCAAGGAAACTGATTGATTTCATAATAATGTGTAAGAATGCAAAGTTCAGGTCATTGTCTTTTGGGCTCAGTGCAAGGATCGCTAACAGCATACTAAGCATACTAACAGCATACAGCATCGCTAACAGCAGGTTTATTATAGTCACCGCCCTATTTTCATTGACTATAGCTTTTCGATGGAAAGTCAGATTCAGGTGATTTTGGACAGAGAGGTTCATGAGTCAAGGAGGTTTTTTCCATGCCGCAAGATGGCGCTGCATGCCTATTGAGGGCGTTGATGTCGACAGCAGCGCCACCTATCTACTTGCTATGTCATTTTTCAGGCATTGGAAAAATCCGTTCAGGCCTATGAATCACTCTGCCAAATATCTGCTGCATCCGAGAGTTCTTTCAAAAGATATGGATTATTGCCATTTCTGCTTATTTATTTTTCTTTCTCTTCACTTGCCGCTTTATGAGAGCATGTACATTTGTAGTTTTTGATGTCATGCCGAACTCAACGGACCAAATGGTCTTGCAAGAGTGATGGAATAAATATTACTATGATTACTATTCCAAGTCATGAAATGAACTGTATTCATCGTGGAATCAATAAGTTCTACCGATATGGTGCATGATCTTCGCGTTTGATGTGAGACCTCTTAGTAGCATGTGTTAAATTCTACCATAGGCCTCTTAGTAGCATGTGTTAAATTCTTTCTATAGAATAAACATTTTATGATCCCTAATTGCAGAGGCCATGAAATGAAAATTATTGTGAAGTTACAAGTTCATATGTTGAATCTTTCCTGAGAAAACTTGCTAATTACTGATTGGGAAAGTTTCCTAAGAAAAAAAATCCAAATACATGAGTGACATAGATGATGCAAGGAGGGACTTGTGAAGTGTTGAGTTACAAGTATAAAAATCAGCATCTATCAGTAGGAAATTCAGCTCTTTGTAGTAGATGAAACTGACTGGTCATGGTGTCAGCAAGGCTTTACGAAGACTATTGAGGATTGTACTAAAGTAATATGGGGAGAATTATGATGGTTAAGTTGATTGAAATTAATATATATATAAAATTTTGCTTAGTTACACTTACATTTAATTATATTTCAAGGTCTGACGCTCCTACGTCCAGGATTCCCTTGCAGGTGCCTTCCCCTCCATTGAACCAGCAGGCTATTGTCACCATGTATGATGGGGAAGAGGTGATCCTCCTTCGAAACCTGACCACCAAAGGGAGCCATACTTTCCTTAGGATCAGATATAAGTCCAACTTTGCCAAATCCGACTCCAACAGGAAGACCAAATTCATAGAAGTGAGACTTTCACATTATCATTTCTTTCAGGATGCCTGGAGGCTCTCTTCATATATTGTTAGTGGGCTCTGTGGAAAGTGTAAGTAAGGAAGCTGGTCTAATAGTTGCAAAGTTCCATAAAAGTAGTCATGAGGTTTCTATGACTCAAGAAGACAAAGGTAAGTCTTAACAAGTATGTTCTTCGTACATTTGGAGATTATGTGACTATTCAGGGCATTCCATAATGCATCTTTCACAGTTGTACCCAACCTGAAGTTGGGTGTGGTGGGGTAAATGTAACTTGAAAAACACATAAATGCTATTTAAAGGATGATTTTAAAAATCCAAGCAAAAGCATAGGCCCAAAATTTGATTTCTAACCACTCCAAACAGTGAACAAGTGATTCCAATAACATTCAGAACTTAGGGCAGAACTGGATCATCAGGAAACCCCTGTAGAATGAGGCAAAAGTAATATAACTGGCATAAGTGCTGTCTGGTAGCACTGAGGAACAAAAGAGGTGACTGTAAATGCACCCCACATTAAGGAGATGAATTGAGGAAATTTACTACTAACCTAGACTAAAAATAGAGCAAAGGTTACATGCTGCTGAAGAGGCTGCAACCGTTCTCTGCTCATTGCTTGCTACAGTTCACATTATTTGGGAATGAGAAAAGGAAGTAAAACTCCTCTTATCCACCCAACATGCACTAATCTCTTTATTATACCTTATTCCCTTATTACTTTCTCCTCAAACTTTTTTTCTAAAATTACGGCAGAAATCTGTAATCATGTTTGCTTATGATAGACACCAATAAAATACATATCTTTCACATCTATTAGTAGAGTGAAACCATAAACTCACAGAATATAGCTTACAGACTTTTATTGGACTTCTGGAATATGTTCGACACGTACAAAACCTTAAAAGGATTCTTATCATTAGGCTCTGCCTGATTGAACAATTAACTTAACAGAAACCCTTTGGCAATTATTTTGACTCCTTAATTTCTTTCTTCATTCCCTTTCATTTCATTTCTTAATATCTTCTGAGTCTTTACTTTTTGGATATCTTGCACTCAAACACATCATCATGGGTGGGAATTTCTTCTTACCTTGAAGGGGAAACTTCACTCCTTTTTATTTGAAGCTTGTATTTCTTTGGAGTTTTCTGAAGCAAGAATTCCTCAAAGGATGTGTATGGTTGAACATGCTTAGTTCTGATGAGCCAATGTGAATTTTCCTTGTGCAACTTTGACATACCTCCTTTTTCCTCCACATTTAACCTCTTTCCTGACGAATCTGGAGATGACTGCTGAAGTCATTCCCTTAAGGTCGCCTCGCGATTGGCTGTTGAATTGTCAGCTGGAGGCATCGAATTCTCTTTGTAGTTGCTGAATTGGTGGGATCGGAGGCTGCCTTCACAATGACATTTTGGTTGTAGGGAGAAGGGGAAGGCTCGAAGACCCCTGTTCCCAGTAGTCTACCTCATTATGAGTTGAACATATCTTCTGCCAAACAATTCTTGGCTGCTTTACAAACTCAGCTTTGACATCCCCCTGGAAGGCTTATGCCGCCACATGATACTAATCGGCAATTCCCTGCAGTTGTCAGGAGACAAAATCCCTTTATTCTAGAGCAGGGCTTCCCAACCTTTTTCACGCGCGGCCTCCTAAATCAAGATCATACCATTCAGGACTCCAAGAACCGGCCGAAGTTCGACAGACTCCCCCACCAATGCCCTAAAATCCCAAAGAAAAACAAAACTTGGTCTTTAGTTGCTGGTTCGCGACTCCATTTGCGGTCGCAGCCCTGGGTTGGGAAGCGCTGATCTAGAGTATTGATACAGTATATTCAAGAAGCCCCTTGCATACATTTTTACCACAAGTAGATTCATGTACCCAAGTTAGCAATAATTACAATATTGTATGTGCGATGTTACTTTTGGCATTTTTGCCCCATGCAAGGTTGTTACAATATCCAACTTCCTGCCAACAATTACGGGCACGAAATTCGTCACCATAGCTGGTACTACTTACGTTGCTAATCGGTCAATGAATGAATTGCTGCAGATGTCCATCTCTCAGTGGCCTTTCCATAGCTGGCCGAAGGCCTTGCTATTTGGGAAGGATGGGAATCAGGGATGGAGCTAGAAGATGCCATAAGTTTAGCCGAGCGAATAGATGAGGCAAGGTGCAGCTGGCCAAGTGCAGCGAGGCACAATCAACGAAGCAGAGTGCAACGGGGCAAAGTCAACAGAGAAGAGTGCAGCAGTACCAAGGCAGCAGGACAGTGTACAGGACAGAGTGCAGAGGACAAGGTTGCTATGGCAAGGGGAACCATTCTCTTCCTATATACACACATTTAAAAAAAAGTTTTGCACTCTCCCCAGATCTCTACAGGTTCTTTCCAAGACATTTTTGGCTGTAACTTTGATGTACTTCATCCAAATTCCATCAAAATGTTATCAAACATAACGAACACATATGGCAACAATATATTATAAGGATTTCTCAAAATGTCCACCGTCGATTGAGATACAGGCTTTTAAACGCTTTGGAAGTTTTCCACGATGTACGTCAACTGTTCGACCTTAATGTCGTCCGAAGTCTTAGGAAAACCCTTCTTCAGCGAATCCACCTTGATGTGCGGTGTCGAGCAGGCCTTCTTCTCCAAAATGGACCACACCGCATAATCCAAAGGCTTGAGATCTGGTGAGTTTCAGCACCAGACGTCCTTCCCCCACAGGTTCGGAAACAGCTCTTAACAGAGCTCCATCGTCGTCTTCGCTCCGTGCGAGGGCGCCAAGTCTTGTTGCAGCGTCCATTCATTTTCGCCGAAACGGTCACGTGCCCAGGAGTCTAGAACTGCTTTCAGTATGCAGTCTTGATACATGGCTGCATTGATCAGCCCCCCTTTTTCCAAAAAAAAAACAAAGGAGTCTTGATGGGAAATGCGACCTACTCACAATTGAGGCTGCTGAGAACAGTTCTGGATCTCGAGACACGTAACCATTTCGGCAGGGTGGATTCGCGGAAGAAGGGTTTTCTTAAGCGTTGGGACGACATTAAGGTCGAACAGCTGACGGTCATCGTGGACAGCTTTCCAAAGTGTTTGAAAGCCTCTACGAGGTCTGATCAAAAAGTTGCAGTACTTTCTTTTCAAAAAATAAACCGCTTTAGGTAGGGGGCTAGGACTTGTGTAGGTGGGAGTGGTGGGGTAACCGCAAGCATGTTGAAACCTCCTTTGCGCTAGGATAAATCAGTCGTGAAGCACGAGTGTTGAAATAGTGTGCTCTGTGCTCTTCGTCGAATTTTTGATCATTCATCATGATCCTGATGCATCATGAGTTTCTCCCACAAGGCCAGACAATTAGCCAAGCTTACTGCAAAGATGTTTTGACCTGTCTGCGAGAAAAAATTAGAAGAAAACGGCCCCAACTTTTCCAAAATGAAGCATGATTTTTGCATCACGACAATGCTCCAGCCCACACTGCTCTCACAATTCGAGACTTTTTGGCTTTAAAAAATTCCAATGTTGCCCCACCCTCCCTATTCACTGAACGTTGCCCCATGTGACCTTTTCCTGATCACCAAGATTAAATTTCACATGAAAGGAATTATATTTGAAGACATTGCAAGCATCAAGGAAAATGCGACGAGGCAGCTTAAGAGTCTTACACTCTAGGACTTCCAGCACTGCTTTTTTTCCCGGCCATTGGTCGGATACTTTTTGATCAGACCTCGTATATATAAGAGCATGAAGCATAAAGACACAAAGGCCATAAAACAACTTCTATTAGGTTGGCCAAAAAGTTCTGCAACACTTGCGAAAAAGTTTATTTTTATGCGCAAATTTATTTTAAAACAATAACAACTACTCTTCAAAATAAAGGCCATCGTTTTCAACAATTTTTTGCCCTGAGCTGCAAGTATCCGGATTTAATTGAAGTACCATTCTGCCATCGGCTATTTATCGGGTCCATATGTCACCGGAATCGAATCGTTTGTACCATCGGGAAACAGTTGTGTAGTGGACGGTTCCTTCGCCTTCAGCATCACAAATCTCTTTAGAATTGGACAGAAATGAAAGGTAAAACTTGTCACACGTAAAAGTGACATGATATTACTGAGCTGAGGGAGTATTCAGCTTTCATGGTTCATCCTCTCCGGGCATAGCTTTTGGGTGGGTCGACTATTCCAAACATGTTTTTTCACCAGCGAAAAATGCAAGTATATGATATTGAAACTTTGTGGGCATGATGTTCACTGTGGATGGATTTCGGTAAAAAAAAAAGGTTCTTTTCGATTAAAACGGCTCAGGGGACATATATTGCAAAAGGCGTAACATAAGTGGATATTCATATGCTGAGTTCAGGAAAAATTCGACTTAGGTGATACATGTTATAGTGGCACACATTTTTGGGGAAAAAAGTTTCAAGTAGTTTTCTTTACTTCATTAATACAGAGACACATGGATAGCTGAAAATTGGCAAGAACGTGACCGTTGACGCACTCAGCTCAAATGACAAACATCAAATTTCGAAAGAATTTTGGGGTTCATATTTCTTGGGGACGTAACGTTTTCAAATAATTTTTCATATCCTACAGAATCATGGAGAAATAGAAAAGTAGCTGGTGCACGCATAACGAACGTGATAACGTTGATTTAAGGAAAATTTCAACTTTTTGTGTGTTTCCTCAGAGCACAGCTTTTGGGCGGGTTGCTTTTCCAAATACATTTTTTCCGCCAGCAAAAAGGGGAAATGTATAATATGAAAATGTTGTGGGCATGTAGTTCAATGAGGATGGATTTCGATAAGAAAAAAATAGTACGTTTCGGTTAAAACGGCTCAGGGCACATATTTTGGAAAAGGTGTATTTTCACGAATTTTCTGATCCAGCAAAACAGAGGGCGCATGAAAGTTAAAAAAACTTGGCAAATAAGTACCTGATGGATAGCTGCGTAAAAAAAAAATAATACATTTCTAATATATATAGACGATCGTGACTGAGTGACTGACGCTAATTCAAAAAGGGGAAACGTGTAAGGCTGAAACTGGGTGGCATGGAGTTCCCTGAGTGTACATTTCAAAAGAAAAACAATTTCGTTAAAACCCATTAGGGCAGTATTTTCAGTCCCATTTTCCTGATATTTCTTGATCCAACAAAACAGAGACAGCAAATTTAAACTTCCCTCAGAAGTACCTGTTTGATGGCTGAGTAGAGGAAAAATCCTATTTCTGAAATATGTCTCTTTAGCGTAGATTGTTGGAGGGAAGTATTTCAAAATGTATTCACCACCCTTACAAAAAGGGACACAAGAAAAGATTTCAAGTTTGGCGCACTAGAAATAATAGAAATATGAATTTTAGAAATATGAAGATTTTCGTTCCCATATGTCTCGTCTTTCAGTTTGGACGTACATTAAATACGTGTTTGCCATTTCGCAAAGATTAAATGAATTAATCACTATCCAAGTTAATGAAGCGCCGAAGGGGCGACCATAGCGAGTTTGTTTGCCCTTCGAGCAAACAAACTCGCTAGTATATCTACTATATATAGACGATCGTGACTGACTCACAGACTGACGCTAATTATAACCATGTTCTAGAAGGGTTAGAAATCTAAAACGTGGTACACTAGGGGGATGCAGAGTTCAGAAAAAATCCCACTTTGGAGGTAAATGCCTTGGGGTACAAATTTTGGGGGAAACGTTTACCTTAAATATATTTCGCAAAAGATGAGGATGGCATTAAGAGAATGAACTGGATGTACTGGGTAGGGTGGTGTAGTAGTAGCATATCTAACTGCTCAATCAGAAGGTCCGGGTTCAATTTCCGGCGATTCCTTCGCTATCTGTTAGTTTTTTTTTCCTTCCATGTTCCGTTACTCATTCCCAAGGACAAGGAGTTAAATAAAAATTTTAAGTCTTGATACACCCCTTGTGGGAATTATTTCGAGGTGCAATGTTTTGAATAAAAAACTGTCTTGGCGAATTGGACACACGTATGAGTGACATGATATTAATGGGGTGAGGGAGTATTCAGATTTCATGGTGCATCCCTTCTGGGCGTAGCTTTCTGAGTGGGTCGGCTTCCAAACATGTTTTTTCACCAGCGAAAAGGGCAAGAGTATGATATTGAAACTTTGTGGGCATGTATTTCACTGAGGATGGATTTCGGTAAAAAAAAAAGATACTTTTTGGCTAAAATCGGCACAGGGCCCAAATTTTGTAAAAGGCGTATTTTCCCGAATCTTCTGATCAGCAACACATAGGGCGCAAAAAGGTTTAATCTCGGGAAGATGTACGTGATGGATACCTGATTTTTTTTAAATCTACTTTTATTATACATAGACGATCGTGAGTATCTGACTGACATCTAATACTAGCGAGTTTGTTTGCCCTTAGGGGCCAAAATACTCACTGTGGTCGCGCCTTCGGCGCTCTATTACCTTGGATAGTGATTAATTCATTAATTTTTTGGATCCAACAAAACAGAGACAGCAAATTTAAACTTCCCTCAGAAGTACNTTTAAGGTAAACGTTTCCCCCAAAATTTGTACCCCAAGGCATTTACCTCCAAAGTGGGATTTTTTCTGAACTCTGCATCCCCCTAGTGTACCACGTTTTAGATTTCTAACCCTTCTAGAACATGGTTATAATTAGCGTCAGTCTGTGAGTCAGTCACGATCGTCTATATATAGTAGATATACTAGCGAGTTTGTTTGCTCGAAGGGCAAACAAACTCGCTATGGTCGCCCCTTCGGCGCTTCATTAACTTGGATAGTGATTAATTCATTTAATCTTTGCGAAATGGCAAACACGTATTTAATGTACGTCCAAACTGAAAGACGAGACATATGGGAACGAAAATCTTCATATTTCTAAAATTCATATTTCTATTATTTCTAGTGTGCCTAACTTGAAATCTTTTCATGTGTCCCTTTTTGTAAGGGTGAAGAATACATTTTGAAATACTTCCCTCCTATAATCTACGCTAAGAGGACCTATTTCAAAAGTAGGATTTTTAATGTACTCAGCCATCAAATTAGTACTTCTGAGGGAATTTAAAATTTTCAATCTCTGTTCCGTTGAATCCAAAAAATTTAGGAAAATGGGACTGATAAAAAGTGCCCTAAGAGATTTTAACGAACATTTTCTTTTAATGTAGACTCAGGGAACTCCATGCCACCCAGTTTCAGACTGGGTGGCACGTTTCCCCATTTTACTGGCGGTAAAAAATGTATTTGGAAAGGCTCCCCACGGAAATCTGTGCTCTGAGGAGACCCACTACAAATGTTGAATTTTTTCTTAAATCAACTTCACGTCCGTTATGTGGTGGCATTCTCCTCAAAGCCCATATACTTGTAAAGTGCTCTGGGCATGGAGTTCGTCAAATCTTTCTTGATTGGTGGTCCTGATAGGGCCAGTTTCTACTGGCTTCCCTCTGCGAAGAGATAGCTTCGCACATTTGTCGAGATCAAACCACTTTCTAATGTCCGTGGAGAACATGTCCACGGTATTCAGGAATCCTTCCAGCTGTCGGTCTCAGTTTGAGGTCATCCATATATAGAAGATGGTTAACAAAGTGGTTCTCTGTCTTTCCCCTTCCGACGTGGTACCCAACTCCACTGGAGTTCAGCAGCTCACTCAGTGGGTTGATGGCTAGACAGAAGAGTAATGGCGAAAGGGAGTCGCCTTGGAAAATTCCACAGCGGATGTTGATCTCCCTTGTGACGACTTTGTCCTCCTTGAAGAGTCATTGTGGTCCTCCATGTTGACATAATATGAGTGAGAAAGTGTACTACTCTCGGACTGACCCTGTATAACTTCAAGCACTCGAGGATCCACGAGTGTGGGATGCTGTCGAAAACCTTTTGATAATCTATCCAAGCAACCGAAAGGTTCTTTTTTTTTAAATCTGGCATCGTCGAGGATCGTCTGGTTGAATAGTAGCTGCTCCTTGCAACCATATGAGCCTCTTGTGCAACCTTTCTGCTCCTCAGCCATGATGTTGCATCTTGTCAGGTGCCTGTCAACACGTCTGGCAACAGGGAAGTAAGCAGCTTATATGTAGTCGGCAGGCATGTGATGGGACGGTAGTTCTTTGGGTTATTTGTTCCTTCGGCTTTCTTGGGGAGCAGGTAGGTAGTGCCACTTGTCAGCCAGGTTGGCGAGTTCTTAGGCTCTACCATGATGGCATTCAGTTCTCTGACTAGGTATTCATGTAGGGCAGTAAAACACTTGAGCCAGAAGTTTGGCACTTGGTCTAAACCTGGTGACTTCCAATTGCCGGTCTTTTTCAGTGCCACGTTGAGTTCTCTCCAGCTAATGGAATGTGCTTCTGTGGTGGTTGCGGGATGGACTTAAGCTGTGGATGCAGTCATCTGACATCAGCCATACCCCATTCATTTCTTCTAAACTTCCTTAGCTCCACCGAGAATTCCGAAAAAGATCTTTTAGGCACTGAAAGTTTTCGCAGGACCGACACCAGATGAGGATCCTGCAGAGCATTCAGGAAATAATAGGCTTGTTTCGCTTTCACTTCTCTCAAGTTACCGTCTTCTTGTTTAGCTGGCAGTTTCTTGGGCATTCTGCGTTTGCTAGATTGAATATGTTGCCTATTTTCCTTTTATTTTCTTATTACTCCACAAGGATAGGTGTCTGTTGCTGTTGGCTAGCCACGCACAGTGCCTTTCCTGGGAGTTAGAGTAGAAGTTGTTTTATGGCCTTTGTGTCTTTATGCTTCATGCTCTTATATATACGAGGTCTGATCAAAAAGTATCGAAAAAAAGCAGTGCTGGAAGTCCTAGAGTGTAAGACTCTTAAGCTGCCTCGTCGCATTTTCCTTGATGCTTGCAATGTCTTCAAATACAATTCCCTTCATGTGAAATTTAATCTTGGTGATCAGGAAAAGGTCACATGGGGCCACGTTCAGTGAATAGGGAGGGTGGGGCAACATTGAAATTTTTTTAAAGCCAAAAAGTCTCGAATTGTGAGAGCAGTGTGGGCTGGAGCATTGTCGTGATGCAAAAACCATGCTTCATTTTGAAAAAGTTGGGGCCGTTTTCTTCTAATTTTTTCTCGCAGACGGGTCAAAACATCTTTGCAGTAAGCTTGGTTAATTGTCTGGCCTTGTGGGACAAACTCATGATGCATCAGGATCATAATTAATGATCGAAAATTCGACGAAGAGCACAGAGCACACTATTTCAACACTCGTGCTTCACGACTCATTAATCCTAGCGCAAAGGAGGTTTCAACATGCTTGCGGTTACCCCACCACTCCCACCTACACAAGTCCTAGCCCCCTACCTAAAGCGGTTTATTTTTTTAAAAGAAAGTACTGGAACTTTTTGATCAGACCTCGTAGAGGCTTTCAAACGCTTTGGATAGCTGTCCACGATGACCGTCAGCTGTTCGACCTTAATGTCGTCCCAACGCTTAAGGAAACCCTTCTTCCGCGAATCCACCCAGCCGAAATGGTTACGTGCCTAGAGATCCAGAACTGTTCTCAGCTGCCTCAATTGTGAGTAGGTCGCATTCCCCACAGTTGGTGGTGTGGGCTGGGATTTGTGCCACGGGCAAGACTCCTTTGTTTTTTGTTTTTTTGGAAAAAGGGGGACTGATCAATGCAGCCATGTATCAAGACCGCATACTGAGAGCAGTTCTAGACTCCTGGGCAAGTGACCGTTTCGGCGAAAATGAATGGACGCTGCAACAAGACTTGGCGCCCTCGCACGGAGCGAAGACGACGATGGAGCTCTGTTGAGAGCTGTTTCCGAACCTGTGGGGGAAGGACGTCTGGTGCTGAAGCTCACCAGATCTCATGCCTTTGGATTATGCGGTGTGGTCCATTTTGGAGAAGAAGGCCTGCTCGACACCGCACATCAAGGTGGATTCGCTGAAGAAGGGTTTTCCTAAGACTTCGGACGACATTAAGATCGAACAGTTGACGTCCATCGTGGACAACTTCCAAAGCGTTTAAAAGCCTGTATCTCAATCGACGGTGGACATTTTGAGAAATCCTTATAATATATTGTTGCCATATGTGTTTGTTATGTTTGATAACATTTTGATGGAATTTGGATGAAGTACATCAAAGTTACAGCCAAAAATGTCTCGGAAAGAACCTGTAGAGATCTGGGGATAGTGCAAAACTTTTTTTTATGTGTGTATATAGGAAGAGAATGGTTCCTCTTGCCATAGCAACCTTGTCCTCTGCACTCTGTCCTGTACACTGTCCTGCTGCCCTTGGTACTGCTGCACTCTTCTCTGTTGACTTTGCCCCGTTGCACTCTGCTTCGTTGATTGTGCCTCGCTGCACTTGGGCAGCTGCACCTTGCTTCATCTATTCGCTCGGCTAAACTTATGGCATCTTCTAGCTCCATCCCTGATTCCCATCCTTCCCAAATAGCAAGGCCTTCGGCCAGCTATGGAAAGGCCACTGAGAGATGGACATCTCCAGCAATTCATTCATTGACAGATTAGCAACGTAAGTAGTACCAGCTATGGTGACGAATTTCGTGCCCGTATTTGTTGGCAGGAAGTTGGATATTGTAACAACCTTGCATGGGGCAAAAATAGCAAAAGTAACATCGCACATACAATATTGTAATTATTGCTAACTTGGGTACATGAATCTATTAATACTTGTGGTAAAAATGTATGCAAGGGGCTTCTTGAATATATCAATACCCTAGATCAGCGCTTCCCAACCCAGGGCTGCGACCCCAAATGGAGTCGCGAACCAGCAACTAAAAACCAAGTTTTGTTTTTCTTTGGGATTTTAGGGCATTGGTGGGGGAGTCTGTCGAACTTCGTCCGGTTCTTGGGGTCCGGAATGGTATGATCTTGATTTAGGAGGCCGCGCGTGAAAAAGGTTGGGAAGCCCTGCTCTAGAATAAAGGGATTTTGTCTCCTGACAACTGCAGGGAATTGCCGATTAGTATCATGTGGCTGCATAAGCCTTGCAGGGGGATGTCAAAGCTGAGTTTGTAAAGCAGCCAAAAATTGTTTGGCAGAAGATATGTTCAACTCATAATGAGGTAGGCTACTGGGAACAGGGGTCTTTGAGCCTTCCCCTTCTCCCTACAACCAAAATGTCATTGTGAAGGCAGCCTCCGATCCCACTAATTCAGCAACTACAAAGAGAATTCGATGCCTCCAGCTGACAATTCAACAGCCAATCACGAGGCGACCTTAAGGGAATGACTTCAGCAGTCATCTCCAGATGCGTCAGGAAAGAGGTTAAATGTGGAGGAAAAAAGAGGTATGTCAAAGTTGCACAAGGAAAATTCACATTGGCTCATCAGAACTAAGCATGTTCAGCCATACACATCCTTTGAGGAATTCTTGCTTCAGAAAACTCCAAAGACAGATAACCTTCATATAAAAAGGAGTAAAGTTTCCCCTTCAAGGTTAGAAGAAATTCCCACCCATGATGATGTGTTTGAGTGCAAGATATCCAAAAAGTAAAGACTCAGAAGATATTAAGAAATGAAATGAAATGGAATGAAGAAAGAAATTAAGGAATCAAAATAATTGCCAAAGGGTTTCTGTTAAGTTAATTGTTCAATCAGGCAAAGTCTAATGATAAGAATCCTGTTAAGGTTTTGTACGTGTCGAAGCATATTCCAGAAGTCCAATAAAAGTCTGGAAGCTATATTCTGTGAGTTTATGGTTTCATTCTACTAATAGATGTGAAAGATACTGTATGTATTTTATTGGTGTCTATCATAAGCAAACATGATTACAGATTTCTGCCTTAATTTTATAAAAAAAAGTTTGAGGAGAAAGTAATAAGGGAATAAGGTATAATAAAGAGATTAGTGCATGTTGGGAGGATAAGAGGAGCTTTACTTCCTTTTCTCATTCCCAAATAATGTGAACTGTAGCAAGCTATGAGCAGAGAACGGTTGCAGCTCCTTCAGCAGTACGTAACGTTTGCTCTATTTTTAGTCTAGGTTAGTAGTAAATTTCCCCAATTCATCTCCTTAATGTGGGGTGCATTTACAGTCACCTATTTTGTTCCTCAGTGCTACCAGACAGCACTTATGCAGTTATATTACTTTTGCCTCATTCTACAGGGGTTTCATGATAATCCAGTTCTGCCTTAAGTTCTGAATGTTATTGGAATCACTTGTTCACTGTTTAGAGTGGTTAGAAATCAAATTTTGTGGCAATGCTTTTGCTAGGATTTTTAAAATCATCCTTTAAATAGCATTTATGTGTTTTTCAAGTTACATTTACCCCACCACACCCAACTTCAGGTTGGGTACAACTGTGAAAGATGCATTATACAATGCCCTGAATAGTCACATAGTCTCCAAATCTACGAAGAACATACTTGTTGAGACTTAACTTTGTCTTCTTGAGTGATAGAAACCTCATGACTACTTTTATGGAACTTTACAACTATTAGACCAGCTTCCTTACTTCCACTTTCCACAGAGCCCATTAACAATATATGAAGAGAGCCTCCAGGCATCCTGAAAGAAATGATAATGTGAAAGTCTCACTTCTATGAATTTGGTCTTCCTGTTGGAGTCGGATTGGGCAAAGTCGGACTTATATCTGATCCTAAGGAAAGTATGGCTCCCTTTGGTGGTCAGGTTTCGAAGGAGGATCACCTCTTCCCCATCATACATGGTGACAATAGCCTGCTGGTTCAATTGAGGGGAAGGCACCTGCAAGGGAATCCTGGACGTAGGAGCGTCAGACCTTGAAATATAATTAAATGTAAGTATAACTAAGCAAAATTTTATATATATTAATTTCAATCAACTTAACCATCATAATTCTCCCCATATTACTTTAGTACAATCCTGAATAGTCTTCGTAAAGCACTGTTGACACCATGACCAGTCAGTTTCATCTACTACAAAGAGCTGAATTTCCTACTGATAGATGCTGATTTTTATACTTGTAACTCAACACTTCACAAGTCCCTCCTGGCATCATCTATGTCACTCATGTATTTGTATTTTTTTTCTTAGGAAACTTTCCCAATCAGTAATTAGCAAGTTTTCTCAGGAAAGATTCAACATATGAACTTGTAACTTCACAATAATTTTCATTTCATGGCCTCTGCAGTTAGGGATCATAAAATGTGTATTCTATAGAAAGAATTTAACACATGCTACTAAGAGGCCTATGGTAGAATTTAACACATGCTACTAAGAGGTATCACATCAAACGCGAAGATCATGCACCATATCGGTAGAACTTATTGATTCCACGATGAATACAGTTCATTTCATGACTTGGAATAGTAATCATAGTAATATTTATTCCATCACTCTTGCAAGACCACTTGGTCCATTGAGTTCGTCATGACATCAAAAACTACAAATGTACATGCTCTCATAAAGCGGCAAGTGAAGAGAAAGAAAAATAAATAAGCAGAAATGGCAATGATCCATATCTTTTGAAAGAACTCTCGGATGCAGCAGATATTTGGCAGAGTGATTCATAGGCCTGAACGGATTTTTCCAATGCCTGAAAAATGACATAGCAAGTAGATAGGTGGCGCTGCTGTCGACATCAACGCCCTCAATAGGCATGCAGCGCCATCTTGCGGCATGGAAAAAATCTCCTTGACTCATGAACCTCTCTGTCCAAAATCACCTGAATCTGACTTTCCCTCGAAAAGCTATAGTCAATGAAAATCGGGCAGTGACTATAATAAACCTGCTGTTAGCGATGCTGTATGCTGTTAGTATGCTGAGTATGCTGTTAGCGATCCTTGCACTGAGCCCAAAAGACAATGACCTGAACTTTGCATTCTTACACATTATTAAGAAATCAGTTTCCTTGAATCCCCATTAATGGACCATGTGTGCAAGCAGATTATCTCAATCTTCTGAGCAATCTAGCTCCTTTCAAAGTAGATCTTAGCTATAGGTTATTCGACCAATGTGCCCAAAGTCTAATTATGCACTCCTATCAACAACCAAGGGCTTACCGCGAATGAGAAACTAATGCAGGCAGGGCTTGCACCATCAGGCGGAGGAATAATTTCCAAATGAATTTTGAGGTCCCCCCAATCCTTGTAGGGAACCAAGCATTCTGCCTTTGAGGATATTTCGAGAACGCAAATGCCTTGCGTGTATCCTGCAACAAAAAACGGCCAAATTGATTAAAAATTTCCAAATGAATTTTGAGGTCCCCCCAATCCTTGTAGGGAACCAAGCATTCTGCCTTTGAGGATATTTCGAGAACGCAAATGCCTTGCGTGTATCCTGCAACAAAAAACGGCCAAATTGATTAATTTTGTATGTTTTTCTTCTTTTCATGCCCAGAAAAAAACCAATAGCATTAATTTCAATGAAGCAGTGATCTCGGGATAAGTTATTACATCCTGAAGAAAGAAAACGCAACATTACATGCATACTAATCCCAACGGTACAATGAAATGTACTCCCGATCGCGTGTGTCACGAGAAGTGGTATCTGTTATATTCTAAGAGTCAAAACACACAGGGCCAATGCTCTCATTGGAACATGTGAACTCACCCCAAAATCACTGCTAAAAGGCAAGTAAAAAATGATCGAATCCCTTCCTTACCTGATCCTGATACATATACACCTCGCAGGCTACATAAATTCAGTATTACTAATGTGTGCACCATTGAGTGCTCCAATATTTTGCATTCCATCCACCAGAAACGCATCCTCGTCCGACTCTCGACTCTCCATGAGGAATGAAAATAGGGAAAATCAATATTATCTCAAGGAACAAAGATGTCACCTCCCAGTCAAGACTAATAATGCCTAATATAACAGCACAACGAGTCCTTTATTGGAGTAGGTAGAGAAATGAAACCTGAGGATATAGGGCAGTGGCCCCTAACCATTTTTGGCTGCGAACCAAATTTCGGTCCCAGGACTAGCTCGAAGACCCATACCCTCGAACAGTTCCAAATACGACAAAAATAAGAGTACATATTATAATATGAAACGACAAAGCGTAGCCTTGTGGCTGGACCGCCCTGGGAAATCGCCTACATCACCCGTCCCTAAAAACTCTGATCTCACACAAAATTGCACAGTCAATTGCGGTCAAGCCATGCAGAACTCTTAGTATTGCGTTTTATTTATCTTTCCAGAATACAACGATACATTGAAATTTCTCACATGCGGTTATTATGGGACTCATCCTGACTGCTATTTTTTTTATCATTTAACAGACTGATAGGAGAAAAGGCATGTTTGGGTAGCATGAGTGACCTAGAATATAAAGGAAAGTTCTGACAGTCACTGCGGACCCTTGGCGACCCTTTCGAAATGGCTTGGTGACCCAATTTTGGGTCGCGACCCAGGGGTTAAGAACCACTGATAGAGGGGAAAGGAGAGGAATTCATCACTGTACAAGAATTTTAATGGATTTAGGCTATTGGGGGACAGGCTGTGAAGTATGTCAAGCAATATTCTCAATCAAGGAATTTTGAAATTTGCCCAGTTATTCTATGAGGAAATGATTGCTCATGAATTGCATGGAACTGAATGAAACAGTCACATTGTTAGGAGATTGAAAAACAGTCCCTAAAGACCAGACCTAAGACTACATAGCAACCAGTGTCTAAATGAACTAAGAATTCACATACCACGATTTCACTTGTAATTACTTCAATGAGACTGGATGATGACTGATTTGGTGATGTGAATGAGAGTAAGATGGAAACTTCGGCTAGGTTAAACCACAGCTCCATACACAGTGAACTTCCTTGATGAGGTGGCAAATCCAATGATCATACGCTTTCCAAGAAGTGAGCTTCCTGTGTAGAAAGTAATATACAAAAATTGGTTTTTCAACTGTCTTGCATGGTTACTTGAGCACCATCACTTAAATGCCCAATGTCAAGATACATAACTGAACAAAAAATTGCATTATTGCCAGGCAGGTGAGATGATGTGAGCATAATCTAGTCATATTTCTCAGCATTTATCTTCATTCAGTCCTCTAATGGACACACCTTATAAATCATGCTTGCAATTCTCTACAGTTAGAATTCGGCTACTCATGTGAACTTTCTCCTCTTCGGTCAAAGCAAGACCAAAAACTAATTTAGTTGCAATTTTGAATCAACTTCATATTAGAAGTAGCAAAAGAATAATAAAGTTATAAGGATTTGAAATGGTCTAAGGTTTTGTGCACCGCCCTGTATGATATGCCTAATTTAAGTATGTGATTTTCATTAAGAATCTTTATGTATTTTGAATATATATTCAACATGCATGCTTTCATAACATTAACACCCGCATATGGGGTACATAATTTAATCAAGCAGAGCCGGAGATAAGTGAAAAACACGGATATGGAAACGGGATGGTAACGACACGACAGGCGGCGTCCTTGCGATCCTAGGATAAGCCTTCCTGTTCTATCCCACACATATGGAGGTGCGAACAACCCTTCGTTAGGGGGGGATGGGTGCGCAAGGCGACAATGGCGCAAGGTGACAAGGCAATGACTCTCCCATTCTCAAGAACGGATCCGACAGTCGCGTAAGCCGTAGAGAAAGTGTGAGCTCGAGAACGTGAGATGGGCATCCAAACCCGCGGAAGTCTTCCACGTACTGTTCCTCCGGAATTCCCGAGTTCAGTCGGTAGCCCTAAAACTTGGCGGCCTCTCAACGATATAAGCTACGGCCGCTCTATCCCATTCTCGAGAATGACCTGTAGAAGACGTCCACGAAATTCGGGTCGGCCTAGGCCAGGGGTGTCAAACTACTGGCCTGCTAGTCAATTGTGTCCGACCTGCGAAGTCCTCTTCAACTATTGGTTTTGGAAAAGCGTTTAATTTTTTCAACCTGTTAGCAATATAAACTTTGGTGCAAGATCCGCTAATGTGGACCCATCCACTCCTGAAGGGTTCCATCCGGTCCCCAGCTCAACCAGGTTTGGCATCTCTGGCCTAAGCAAAACATTGTCGGGAAACCACGAGTTCAGTCAGCGCCTTCTCAACGCTCTATGTAGCTCGAAAATTGTACGTCTTGTGCTCCCCGCCCCCTCATCACAGGGGTGTTAACACCTATATACTGACATTTCCGCAGGGAGGTCTAATACGTACTTAATACGAAGACGTAATACGTATTAAACTAGGAATCCGCTTTCATCCTTTGAGGAAAGGTGACTACCTCTCAGAATGAGTTCTCTGCCCTTAAATTTATCGGGATCCCGGCCCCTTTACCAATCAGGACCGCGTCATGTCATGGGGCGGCGCGACTGCTCGTCTTGGTTTCGGTGTTGCAGTGGAAGCACACCTGGTCGGCAATTGAGGCCCTGGGTTCGGTTCTCGGCTGCTCCATAGTGTTCTTTCATCCTCTTATGCCATCCAACTCTTTCCTCCCGGCTATTACCCTAGAGAATGGATGCAACAGTCGCAACGGCCGGAAGGAAAGTGCAAGATCGAGAGAGGCCATTTCATCCAGAGTTCATCGAGAGGCCGACATACATGCGCACATGGATGCAGATATACAGATAAACAAGCATGTTATGTACACGGCTTCCCAGAAGTCCCACCCCAACGTTGTATATATTTCTTCCAGGCGCGTGTGGCAACATTCCCAAGGCCGTGGCATCTATATACAAGTCACGTCCTTAACGACCGTACATAACGACTGGCGAATGTCTGCATGATGCAGACATTCAAAACGTGGTGCATAATTGGCTGCGCTCTTTACGAAAACTTTTCCTGTGATGGAATCAAATACCTTGTCTGTCGCTGGAATAAATGTTGAGGTAGGAGGTTAATTACAGAGAAAAATAATGTGTTCGTGTTTCTGGAATGAACTGTGTTGAAGCTATACTCAAATTTATTTTTTGTTGTTGGCTCCCCCTCGAATATAGACGATCGTGACTAACGCTTATTCTTACCACGTTCAAGAGAAGTTATATATCTGAAACTTGGCTCGCAAGCACATAATGGGATGCAGAGTTCAGAAAAAATCTGACTTTGGATATACTCGTATATTCCATGGGGGCACTCAATTTGGGGGAGATTTTTTCAAAGCTACTTGCTTTAGTCAAGCGGAGACCCATGGAAAGATGAACCGAGTGTCTCAGTGGGCACTTGGACGTGCCCACTGAGACACTCAGTTCAGGAAAAATGTCACATTTCGGATACATGCCCTGGGGGCATGTTTTTGGGGTGTGACACTTCCAAATAAATTTTTTTTGCCCTACCCAATTAGGCAGAAAGAGAAAACTGAAACATGGCACGCCAATAACTGTGGTTCAGAAAATTTTCAAGTTTTGTGGTTCATATCTTCAGTGCAAAGATTCAGGCTGAGTTGGCTTTTGTAACGAAGTTTTTATACCAGCAAAAAGAGCAAATGGATAAAGCTGAAGCTTGGTAGGCACGTTGCTCTCCGAGTACTGATTCCAGGAGAAAATGATAATTTATATGTAAAACCCCTTCTGAGGGCACTTTTTTTTGCAAAAGGCTCATTTTCCGGAATCTTTTCTCATCCAATGAGAGGGGGAGAGAGAGAGAACTAAAGGAAGTTGAAACTTGCAGCAGAAGTAGCTGTTCGATTGCTGAGTGCACATCATACTTTTCAAATATGACTCCTCAGGGGCAGGTTATGAAGAGATTCGAATTTAGGCACACAAGAAATAATCCGAGTAATTATTTCGATGAAAATATCGGCTTGTCCTTTCACGGCACACATTTGTACGTTCATGCTACTTGGAAAATAAATATATAAATGAATCACTAGCTTAAACAATGCAGCGCCGAAAGCGCGACCGATGAAACTAGCTAGTATCTAATATACACGAGTAGAGAATTATGCATAAGCATGCATAATTCTTGAAAAATCTCCTGAGAGGCCTGGAAGCTCCAATTGTTTTCACACAGCTAATAATAGACGGCATGCAGTGACGTTCAAGGATGTGACACCATTTTACCAAGGAAGCCCAACATCCTGATAACTGGAGAACTTCCGTCCAACAATTTTCGCTGCATCCTTTTTTCCCAGAGATAGTGGTGTCTCCTCAATGTCAAAGCATAACTTTACAGTTACTTCTCATAGCCCCAAGACAAGATAAATCTGCTAGCATGACCAAAGCCTTCAGGGGTATGCGCAATGTATTCAGGTCATTCCTTGTATTCTAGGGTTGGTCCTCTCGAACAGACCCTAGTTGCGTTGTAACCGTCGGGTTTTCTTACGCACTGCCAACCTCGCCTTCCTCATTTTAATGAGACCCAACAGCGCACCAGCATGGATCGTGGACCTCTATGAGTTCCTTCCCGGTTTGGTGTCGAAGGCTAAAGTGAGAGAAATGCAACCTATTTTGGAGGATGATGGGTCACAGTTGGTGTAGAAAAGAGTTTTTCCAACACAAGTGACCCATCATTCTCAAGAAAAGTTGGCTTTTTCTTTCGACCCAATATAGAAAGAATGCGGTTCACTGTGGTCTGTGTTTATCGAGGTTCAAGGCGGTTTAGTGGCATCAAGAGGCGATAACACCCATTTCGATACCACGTATCGAGGTCGAGCGCTCCTAAATTTTGGGGTAGATGTACTCCTATTAAAGCTAAACATTTTTGTGAGTTTTGTGAGCTACTTTAAAAGCATATCCTAGTTGCTCACTGTCTAGTCCCTTATGTCAACATTACACCCCTTCTTGCTTGTCCATAAAAGCGTCTAGTTCCTTCTTTAAAATAGACATGGAAGGGGCAGCCACTACGTCGTCAACGAACATTGCAGGCATTCACGACTCTACAAGTAAAAAATCCTCCCTCAACCTGAGGTGCACCTGCGTTTTACGCAACTGGAGTTGATTACCTCTCATTCTCTTGCAGCCATCGAACACGAGGAGCCTACCACACTCGACATTATCTATTCCTTTACTAACCTTGAAAGCCTGGATCAGATCGGTCCTCCTTAGCCTTCCTTCGAGGGAATAAAATAAAGTCCCAGCACTTCTAAACGCTTCTTGTACGGAAGTCCCCCAACCTCCTTTATCATTTTTTGTGGCCCTCCTCTGCACCCCTTCGAGCGCCATCGATTCGCCCTTATTTATAGGCGTCCAAAACCGGATGCAATATTCCAACAGCGGTCTTTCCAGCGTCGCATTCAACGGAAGAATAACGGATAAGTTCTTACTTGTGTCACGGAGTTTTTCATGGCGCTGCTGAGAAGGGTAACATGGATTCTTCTTCCACTAATGCTAGCGGGCAGACGTTGCGTGTGTGAAGGCTTGCTCAGGTTCAGCGCCAATCCCCACGTGAACAAGAGTTTGCATGGTAGGGAATGGAAAACCAAGGGTTACTATCTGTAACTTACAAGGTTTAATCGCTCTATAAAAATAAACACATCCTCCGATGTGAAAGGGGTAGTTGGAGCACGGAGTTCTGATGCGTCCGGGAAGAGAAGGGCGGTACCCAAGATGCACTGACGAGAAGTGGAGAAAATCCCCGATAATGAGCCAGAATACTCCAGGAGTACTCCAGGAGTACTCCAAGAATCCCCAAGGAATGCCGACGAATAGGGAGAAACCTCCACTATTTAAAGCAGGAGTGTCAAACTCGATTCGGTTTGGGGTCAGATGGAAGCCTTCAGGGGTGATTAGAGGCCACAATAAAAATCTAACGCCTAATCTTTAATACAAACATGCTGAAACTACTATACTATACTACTTTTCCGTAACAGACTCAACAGTCTGTAAAAAAAAAAAAGCCTTGAGGACTTTTCGGGCGGATATAATGTACTGGCGGGACGGATCCGACCCGCCAGTTCGACACCCCTACTTAAGAGCGAGGCTGGCCGCAGAAAGTAGTCCTCCGGCCCAAGGAGAGGGGCTTGGTACATCCCCCATGGCAAGGACGAAAGGGACGAAAGGGGTCACAAACAAGGAAAGAGCAAAAATCTTCGAGTACATAACATTTGCAACTGAACGACGAATGAGACCTAGCATCATTTTACATTTGGCCGCTGTCGCTTGCGTGTGCGAGGAAAACTTAGCAACAACAAAAAAAAAAACAAAAAGGCGGTCCCTAACGATGCTCTCCCCCATACAGCGTGGGTAATCCCAAAGATATCATCCAGAGATATCACATTGGGACAAGTGAGATGTCCCAGAGACCGAGGAGGGGCATCTTACTGATACCTGCATCAACATGTCTGGGCGCAAAGATATCCCCTTGCACTCAGAGAAATCGGTGAATCGAGACGATATACTTCTCTCAATTTTCGCATTTCGATTTCTTTTTCTCAAGAGAAAAATACATCAGCTGGATTTTCGATTTATATCTC